ACTAGAAGAGAAATGTAAACAAAAAGGGGAAAGAAGTGCAGTCTATAAAAGGGCAGCAAGTCGAAAAGGAAAAAGTTCGGCGAGGCATTATTCACCGTCGAGCGACTTTTAGCAGGCCTACTATAGTTGATTCGCCCAAGACACCAAGACTTTCGCACTCTACATCGATCCACCCAGCACGGAGGCTGGAGGGGTGGCATTGTTCCAACTAGCTGGACCAGTCTGGTCCCAAAAGCCCAGCGGTGGAATCATCAACCAATCCTGGATGATCCAGGCCCAGTTAGCCTGGACTCACGGGAGAAACCCAGGGGAAACCCATCTTCATTTGCCTGACACCGGCGGGGATGGGAGGGGAGGGGGAAGAGAAGAAAGTGGGTTCAAGTTCAACCTTGGATCTTCCGCTTGTGCTGCTGCAGAAAACTCTATATTTTCTTCTGTTCACAGCAGCAGCAGTAGTAGAGAGCGCATGGGACATGAGTAACCTGCCTTTGACAGGGCGACTGGCCTTTTACCTTGACAGCGACCGGGGCGAGCGAGTCCCTGAGTGGCTCCTTATGAAACAGCCTAACCGCCAGGGCCAGGGGTCACCGGCCAATCACCACAGGAATATCATGAAACACCAGCGTGCCTCGAAAGCGGTTCCGTGGATAAACTTCGAGTTAGGCGTGTTACAAAGTCCAGCCTGGGACGCCGGCTTTCCCCCCCACCCTCTGGCCCTGCCATTGAGCCACTCGGCATTAATATTCAGGCAGCAGCAGCAACAACAACAACAGTGCACAAGGTACGCTGCATCGGCATGGCTCCAGTCCACATAAGCATCCGAATCCCGAGTACGTCAATGGACGAGTCCTGCATGCGTGGCTAAACATTTCGCAATCGTGCACACGTACACAATAGATCGATCTGAACAAACAGGACTCTTACTCAGCCCTGGAAAGCCGCGTACGTAGGCAGTCGAGTTTTTTGGGTAGTGTTCATCATTGCCCAAAGGAAACCTCAAGAATTGGACGAATAGATGTCCGTCAACACAGTTGGGTGATAGACTTTTTGTTTGCCCAGCGTTTAGTTTCTTGGTTAACCCGTTAACTGCATGACACTGACTACTCCGTACTATCTATCTAATCGGCTACTCCGGGGGAAAGGTTGATCTTCAACCCGTCTAGGTAGTAGCAGCAATAATCCCACATGTTTAGAAATGCTACTTATCTTTCTCGGCAGCATCAAAAGCACCCCCCAAGACCCAATCAGTAATCAGTATTCGTTGTGGCTCGCGGGACAAGACCAAGCAAGCAGCAGCACCCTGAATTTGTTCAACCTCGGGCCACCCCCGTTGCGGATCTTCATCAGCGGATTTCCGTCTCCCTCAAACAGAGCCAAGCAAACGGTGAGATGAAAATGGTCCGATGGATGGCCCGGCGGGGATTCAACTTGCAATCTGCCAAGTACATTTCAGGCCCTTTCTTTCCACTTGGCGGGCGGTCCGGCACTTTTTCTTGTCGCCAAGCTGTCTAGGAAGTAAAATACGACTGATGAAGTGGGTAGTAACTTCATTATCATGTTACATAGTACACTTCATGTTGTATCTCGATGCTATCTATAGGATCGACAGCAGCAACTCCTTCGCTTTAGTCTAGGGCTTAGTGAGCACTAATAACGTAAGTCGGTAGTTGGTTATTAACTGCTATTTATTTGGAGTAAACACGCGAACTACTCCTACTACCATCCGTGAACACGGGTTCTTTCTCCCCCGCGCAGCCCCCAAGCTAGGTGTATCTCGCCCCCAATGGTGTAAGCGAAGACTACGAAGAGTGCCTTGGGGTACAAAAATAGTAGGAAAAAGGAGAAGCCTTTAGAAAAAGGTTGAGCGGGAAACAGAGAAAGATTTTGAAGATTTGGTATCTAAATGACTTCTTGGTCGAAAATGCCCGGAACACCCACGAATTGAAAGAAACCTCGGCTTGCTATCCCAATGCTGAACGCCCGTGAAATCAGATCAAACATCATATATATGAGATAAACATCACTCTGCCGCATCCTCCGGCAGCACGTCGTTGGGATCCTCTCCAATCATCCCAGCAACCGAGCGGACAACTTGCTTGATCGCAATCGATGCTGGGCTGTCGGGATAATGATCCACGAAGCTCTCACCATAGTCACATGCCATGCCTACCCGCGGGTCAAGAGGCACAGCGCCCAGGAAAGGAATGCCCATCTTCTTGGCGAGTCGCTTTCCGCCCCCGGTGGTAGCCCGGAAGATCTGGGTCTCAGTGTTGCACGATTGGCACACGAAGCCAGACATGTTCTCGACTAGCCCCAGGATGCGAATGCCTGCCTTGCGGCAAAAGTCTATTTCCTTCCTGACGTCGAGCAACGAGACCTCCTGTGGGGTAGTGACAACTACTGCGCCATCTACACCGGACTCCTTGAGCAGAGAGTTGACGGACAGATGCTCGTCCGATGTCCCCGGGGGTGTATCAATGACCAAGTAATCCATCTCGCCCCAATCCACATCCTTCAAGAATTGTTTAATGAGTCCGTTCTTCTTCGGCCCTCTCCAGATCACCGCATCATCCCGATTGGGCAGCATGAATTGCACGCTCATCGTGGCTAAATTATCCGTAACCCACACCGGACTCCAGCCTGCATTGCTCACGTGGATGGTCTCCGCCTCGACGCCCATCATTTTCGGTATCGACGGCCCGCAGATATCGGTATCCATTACACCCACAGTCGATTCAGGATTTGCGGCGAATGCGTGGGAGAGAAGGGAGGTGAAAGTAGATTTTCCGACACCGCCTTTGCCAGAGAGTACAAGGATTTTGTGTCGTATTTGCGATAGCCGTTCGGTGATGATGGGGATATCGGGGTCAGGACCTTTGGGGGCAGATGCGCAGATCGATTGATTGGGACACCCTGCACAGGCATCGCCTTTGCCTGCTTGTTCGGACTCGGGACCAGGACAATGTTCTTCTCAGAGATTAGTACACTAATCATATCCTAAGCAGATATCCCGGCTTCATATCGGACATACCTGGCTCAGGAGCCACCAGATTCGGGGCCATCTTCGACCGCGCCTCAAGGTAGGCAGCGGTCGGCTCCTCCAGAGAAGGTGCCATCTGGATTTTCAGTCAGTTATGTACGGTCTCTTTTGCTATTGGCGAGAACACGGCAGATGCTGAACATTCAACCACCCAAAAGATGTCGTTATGTATGATAAAAGCTGAATGCTGTCTTACGAGAAAAGTGGCGGCGTGACCGCGGGCGGGATGCTTGATAAGCAACACATGACAAACGCTGCAGTGGCGATTGGCGCGGGGTTCGTTTCGGTCGCAGCGGTGTCGGAGAGAGCGGCGATAAGATCCATTGCTACCCATGCCAGGAACAAATTTCAAAGCAAACAAGCTCTGCACATAATCTTAGATCTAAGCTGCGTATGGAAAATTTATCCTATCGCATTGTTAAGTAGTTTAATGCACTTTTGAAACCAATACAGTGATTCTAGTGAGCGTGGATGCTATGAATCCTCTGGACTCGAAGCAACACTCTCCCATACTGCTAGTTCACTGACACTACCTGCTAGGAAGGGCCATTGTATATGCAGTAGACCATAACCCTCACTCGATGCTTGTCGAGATTGACAAATAATGCTGTCCGTAACTACTCTTCAGATACCCGACGAATGCTGTCCCCAATGCCTCTAATATTGTAGCAAGTTCGCCGATTCATAGACTCGGAAGGGATGCCAACCAGGCAGGCCGACACAAGAGGGGCAACCTGGTCTCAATATGTTGTCGGGAGGGGTAACGCGGAAAATTCATGCAGTGTCAGAACTTTAACGGAGTCACACAACGCCCACAATCTGGTTGCGCAATGATATCATGTTGCCCCTATTAGACAAGGACAACATTCTCACGTATGGGTCAGAACATCCTCAAACCCCATTGCCTACATGAAGAATGCGTGGTTGGGTAGGACAGTATAAGAAACCACCACAGTATCCTACTACTAAGCGGGTAACTTTCTATGCGGGTCAGAATGTCACCATATGTGCGTTGAAATAAACACCTCGCGTAGTCCTGTCAATCAGTTTCTATCCTTGGATAGTCAGAAGACGGTAGTACTGCAAAATCCTTCTAAGATGAGGGGAAGAGATGCGTCTCTCGTAAAGCCAATGTCGTTTGGAGTGGGTTCGTTAGCCATAGGGAGTGCTCATTGTCCGCATGCGCCTCCAGGTACAGGTTTAGTTGCATCGAACTTGGTTTCAATCAAGGTACACACCATCCTGGACGTCCATGATATTCTATTGATGGAAAGAAACAATTGATTCAATATCGAATGGGTCTGTGATCAATGAACAGGCGCAGTTGCCGCCAGTAGAAATTCATGTCCAATACGAGGGTGAATGAGATGGCCCGGAATGCCTGGAGTGAGGGAGGTGCTTCCCGAAAGCCAGTTCCTAGGGTGTGGCTGCATCATTAACGGGCCAGCAGCCAGCAGGTGCAGACTGGAATGATGCGGAATTCCGCATATGTTCGTGATCGACGATATCTTGGTTATGGAAGAGAGGTTTACCCTTTATTCCGAACTGTGTACCAAGGACCAGAATCTGGTAGTGCGCAGCGATCCAATCTGCGGTGGGTAAAAGTGGGAAGGCCGTCGGACCCTGGATGTTGAGATCCATTACTTCTGTTCAATTCCAGCCCATTCTTCCCAGAAAAGCGTGCCGGGCGAGCGTCATGACTGGCGTCAGTTGGACTGCTTGAGAGTCCGGGTCTTTCCCCAGGCAGTGCACGGGGTCCACACTTGAGCTGTGCTAACCGACAAAAGTGGGCACTTGGGGGAGGAGATGTCGCTGCTGTCTCATATTGCTCGCTAGTCCTCACCCCAACGCTTTTGCAGAATAAATACGTGGACGGACCTCAGGCTTTCCCCTTTGCTGGTACACTCAACCATTAGCATTTAGACTTGGTTGTGTGCTGTGTACGCTTCACCTCTTGGACACCACTCATTCCCAGCGAACTCGAGGGATTCCCCAATGCGGCTTGGTGACTCAGATTTGAGCAGCACGGACCAATCATAGTTACCCTGACGCTTTAAATACAGCCTGCCCCCAGCACCTCTGTCACATGCTTTTCTCTCGACTGTGCGCTTTTTTTCATTCCTTTCCCCTAACCACTTCTCGCTAAACAATTATGGATCGAGGCCTCTCAACAGGCACTCATATCGGGGATGATGGGCTTCGCGAGAGGTTTCAGGCCTCTCAGTCCGATTCATCCCTGGGCGCTGGGGCACTCACTGCTGCTGGTGAGGTCGAAGCCAAGGATGGTACAAGCCAGAACAAGAAAACTTTTGGCAGGACCCCTGATGGTACAGGTAGGCATTCCATTCATTGAGTTATGCGTTGAACCTGGTTGATATCAGAGCCTCTATTATCATTCGACAATGGCGGACTTCCTTCTATTGTTCTAGTGGCGGAACTTGGCGGCTAATTTACTTGATTGCTACATAGTGTTCACGGTGCCCCAAACCCACGACATGGTCTCTCAACTCCTGTCGCCCTCGGAACCTAAGAATTTGTCCGATGTGATAGTTCTGGCTATTCTGGGAGCACACATCCTGTTGTTGTGGTGGCTACCGGACTTTGCCAAAATTCCTGTGTTTGCGGTCATCTACCTCTTCTGGCGTGCAGCTTACAATGCCGGAATAGGATGGCTTTTGCATAACCAGTCCCATCACAAGACCCTTGTGCGCTGGGCGGAAAAGACAAGGATCTTTGTGAACCCGTCTACTAACCAGAATCCACACCCTAAGTTGTATAACTTGCTCAAGCGGGAATTGGAGACTAAGATCCCTACAGACTATTCCTTTGAAGAAGCTCCGATTGAGTACAACACCTGGCTTGTCTTTAGACGCCTGGTGGACTTGATCTTGATGTGCGACTTCACGTCATATTGTCTCTTTGCTATAGCATGTAGCCACCATCCTGTGGGTGAGAGCATGCTGATGACAGTCTCGCGTTGGTCAGCCGGCATTGTGCTCGTATTGTTCAACCTTTGGGTTAAACTAGACGCACACCGCGTGGTCAAAGACTATGCCTGGTACTGGGGAGATTTCTTCTACCTCATCGACCAAGAGTTGACGTTCGATGGTGTCTTCGAAATGGCCCCTCACCCCATGTATTCGGTCGGGTACGCCGGGTACTACGGTATTTCTTTGATGGCAGCCAGCTACAAAGTGCTCTTCATCTCCATAATCGCCCATGCAGCTCAATTCGCCTTTCTGGTGTTTGTCGAAAACCCGCACATCGACAAGACGTACAACCCCCCTCCTCCGCGGAAGCGTATGACTGAACAAGACTCTGTATCTACATCATCTCAGGCCACTGAGCCTTCCGTTGCCTCAGCTTCAACCGATGAGCCACTGCCCCAAGCGACAACACCCCCAAGCGGCCCACCTCCTTCAGTTCACAATCTACTGGGTTTCAACAACTTGGATCTGTATCGGATAACGGATACATCGTCAATCCTGATCCAACTACTCGTATTTGCACTGACCGTTTTGACGCCCTCGACGCCCCGATACCAATTCCTCTTCGTGGCCAATGCCGCGGTATGGAGACTGGTGTTTTCGGTGGGCATCGGATACCTTCTGACCGAGCAATCCGACTGTAAAGCGTGGACCCGTCATTTTCTTAAGTATGGCGAAACACCTAATGAGGCCTGGAACCAGTGGAAAGGCACTTATCATCTGAGTATGATCATGTGCTATGCTAGTTTCATTGCTGCCGTATGGAAAATGTACACGCTGCCCGCTGACTGGGGCTACGGTCTGGTCTTGCTCCGCCATGTTCTGGGCGCAGGGCTCATTAGCTTGCAAATCTGGACTTCCGCCAGCATCTACGAGTCTCTCGGAGAGTTTGGCTGGTTCTATGGGGACTTCTTCTTCGAAGGGGCTCATAAGTTAACGTATAACGGTATTTATCGCTTCCTGAACAATCCCGAGCGGGTACTGGGTCTGGCCGGCGTCTGGGGCGCCGTCTTGATCACAAGTAGTGGCGCAATTACATTCCTGGCGCTTTTGAGCCACATTCTAAGTCTGGCTTTCATCCAATTCGTGGAGCGTCCGCACATGCAGAAGCTGTATGGCCGAAGCCTGCGACAGGATGCGGGGCTGGTCAAGAGCCTGAAGCGGACCCTGCCCCCCACTCTCCGTCAGCTTCATGGAAGCGTGGACAAGATCTTCGATGATTCTTTCGAGTTTATCGAGGAGCTTATTGACACCGCTCGCCCAAAGCTAGCTGCTGGCGTCAATACTTTCGTCAAGGATACCACGGCGCTATTCCAGAAGTATCCCGCGCGTGTGACCATCACCCGCATTGATGAGGACCTCGCGGGCTTGGACTCCCGGGACTATGCCCTGGAAATCGAAGGCACGGATTCATCCTCTCTCGAGGAGTGCGACAAGAGTACTGGTAGAGAAGGTGCCAATGCTCGCGTGCCCCTCGACAGACGAGGCGACTTGAAGAACCTGGTCTTTGAATACGGTTCTCCCATCAAAGTCAAATGGACCGCTCCTCTCAACCACAGCAAGAAGGACTGGGTAAGTCTGTACCGAGTCACGGACAACACCTCGCGTGAAGTCTCTCGCGTCTCCTCTCAAGGAAGATGGGTCGCAACGAATGAGGGTTTCTACGACAACCTCACCTGCGAGAAGGGCATCATAACCAGTGACATTGTCACCGAAAACAGCGAGCATCGTGACGTCGCCACCGGCGAAGTCATCTTCTCAGGTGACAAGCTCTTCTGGACCCAGGGTGTCTTCGAATTCCGTTATCACCACAATGGCAAACATAATGTCATGGCGATTTCTCGACCTTTCGAGATCCGTATCCGGCGCTTCGACGAAGAGTCCTTCGAAGATAACCAGGCATCCGTTGAAAAGAGCCTCCTCCCTGTTGTCCGAAACTGCTTCGACCGAGACCCGGAAATCGCTCCCGAAACCGTGGAAGAGCAGTTCGGTAGCCTCGTGGAGCGTGACGGCAAATTCGCTAAAAGGGTCGTCTTTGCTGTACATCAGATGTGAGTTCACTACATCCTCGTTGGCGTTAGTGGCCGATCATTTGGATGCTAATGTATATTCTATCTAGGTTCGGTATTGAATTCGCTCCTGAAGTTGTCCGAGCTGACGGGACTGTTCGGAACCTCGCTTGGAGAATCTGTAATGCGAAGCGGGTCTTGGTAAGTATCGTACCTTTTCTTTTCTTTCAAGGCGAAGGGCTAATAGGTTATGTTTGTAATAGGCTCCTTATAGCATGACCAGAGATGGTGCTACAACGCCTACTGAGGCGCATGAGAAGGACGAGGCGTGAGGACTCTCCTTACTAAATGGAGAGTGAATGAATGATGCGTTTTTGCGACTTTATCTGTTTATTTGTCCCATTTTCTCTTTCAGGGATCAACTCTCGATCGGCAGGTGTAGTACAGGAGACCAGTTGTTTAGTTGCATGGTGCTCCAGACAAAGTCAGAGATGGTTCTACGAATGATAAACAAGTGTAAATAAAAACTTCTCCATACATATGGCTATTCTGGTCCTTCGTTGCTTTTAGTTTAGCTTTACAAAGGCTAGAGTTACGGGTGTGTATATGCAAAACAGAAATTGGTATCGAAATGGGAAATGACATTAATATTACTAGCTATGATAAGACGGCGGACAAGACGAGATTCGAAGTCTGCAGGCAGACGAGAAAGTCAGCTCACGATCCACGAGAATGTGGTTCTGAGATATAGGGCATGGACTCCATTCAAGAGAATAGAGTATATGGAAGGATCAGCCAAGCCGGGTAATTCATCCCATCCCCTGCCAGTTCCGATCCCCCGTCAAGCCATCCAAAACGAACGACGAGGCGGGAAAAAGGCCCTGACACAAGTCAGGCACAACAAACAAGCCGACGCTGACAATGCGGACAACAACGATGTAGCCTGCCTCTCCAGGACTCCACAACCTTCCTCCCTTGAACGCCTGCCGTCCTCCCGAGGGAAGAAGCGAGCGTAAGGTCCAGTATAAGGGAGATGGATAAGTAGATCGTTGAAGTCATATGCATGACATTGTTGGATGATGCAGGCCCGAGGGGCGGTTCTCCAAAGGAGATCATTGAATGGATTGACTTGTTGTCATCATCGACGTGTGGGGTTGTTGTGTTTATGGTTGTAGTGATCGAAAATTATAAGCATACCTCTTCTGATAGTCCAGGATAATGCAGCTCGGCGCGCTAATGGCACCTATGATTTTACATACAGTACCCTAGAGAATTCTTGAGAGCTGTCAGTAAGATTCTTGACTGAAAGCAATGAGTGGAGCAAGTAGTGGAAGTTGTCCAATTGGATCAGGAGTTTTTGGTAAGGTATTTTGTTTTCTTCAAGGTTTTTGCAGAAGCAGAACTGAAAAAATTGTTTCTCATCATTGGATGATATTCCAGGGTAGAGGCCCGGAAAGATTGTGGGTAAGGGAAGAGTGTGGCATACCAATCAGTTTACAACAGCGGGTTTGAGGTGAAGTAGCTCTAGCTAATATCCTATAATCTTATAGCAATGTCAGCAAAGCTACTCAACCAAGCATGGAAGAGAAAACACAAGGCAATTGTAGGTGCATTATCAGATGGTGATGCATGTTTGTTCAAGGCCCATTTGTTTGTCGCCAGAACTGAAAGATTTTTGGATCTTGTTCATCAAGCAATGATAGTAGGGAAGTAAAGAAGTGGAATAGACTCACGTTATACTAGTTAGTGACAAGTTGCCAATGAAGGCAAATGTGAAGTAATTTAAGTCTCAACATAAAAGACGTGTTGCTTTTCGCAAACAAATCAAGCTTGTGTGGTGCGGGAGAAGAAGAGAAAGGAAAAGCGCGAGTCGAAGCGAAGAAAAGGAAAAGTGGACGAGGAAAAAGAAAGCGCCGAATTCCGCGCTGCCCGCCTTGCAAACCATGCAAACTTCCCTCAAAATTGTAGATGACCGCTTCTGGACATCGACAGCAGCTCTGCTTGACCATCCAAATTTCTGACCCAAATCCTTGTCTCGCTTCCTCAATTGCTTGTCGCGCTGGTATGAGGATGCCAAGTCATGTGTAATGACTGACAGACGAAGAATCAATGGGCCGCCTAGCGGCACGAGGCCGGCCGTTTTCGCCTCCTCTCTCAAGTCCGCTTCTAGCATTTCTACCGGCAGACCACGACGTCAAAGGCAGCCGGATGAGCTTCGCAAGATCTGTAAGAATAACTGCAACTCTTCTTGTATGGTACCATGGCTAATACACTCTCTCTCCAGTTCTGAAGACAGGTCTCATCCCTTCGGCATCTGGTTCTTCCTATCTTGAATTCGAACCCTCCGCATCACTTGCTGCTGCACGCTCAAACCCCCAATCCCTGATTCCTCCGTCCTCTGCATTGAAGCTTGCCTGCACAGTTCATGGCCCTAAGCCCCTGCCACGCTCGGCTAGCTTTTCGCCTAACGTCGTCCTTACGACACACGTCAAGTATGCGCCGTTTGCTGCCCGCCAGAGGAAGGGGCATATCCGCGATGCTAGCGAACGGGACCTGGGTGTGCATTTAGAGACGGCGCTTAGAGGCGTCATTGTTGCTGAGCGCTGGCCCAAGAGTGGCCTCGATATCACAATCACCATCCTGGAAGCAGAAGATGACCGCTGGTGGGGCGACGCACCCGATTCGCATGATGCTCCTTGGGGAATGATGAATGTATTGGCTGGATGCATTACCGCTGCGTCTGCAGCAATTGCTGATGCTCGAATTGACTGTCTTGACCTTGTAGCTGGTGGTGTGGCTGCCATCGTCTCCGACGAACCAGCAGAGGGTGAATCGTCTACCCCTAAGCTGATGCTCGATACGGACCCAGCTGAGCACAAGTCTATTCTGTCTGCCTGTGTCGTTGCCTACATGCCCTCTAGAGATGAGATTACGGAGTTGTGGCTCAAGGGCGATCATTCAAAGGCATCATTAGGCACTACTGATCAGAGTCTGACCCACGAATCTCTCATTGATGGGGCAGTGAATGCAGCTCGAGGTGCCCACACTGTCCTGGCAGAAGCTGTGAAGGAGTCTGCTGAGAGGTTTGCTGGTTTACCGACAGGGGCAAACCTGGTGTAATCGTGATTCCGATTTGTGCACATGTGGCGTTGTTCAATATCATATATCCTTCACTGTTTAGCACCTAATGCCATGCGCTCCCTACGTGCTTCCGTTTCCTCCATCCTCTTAGGGCTTCGTATCTACTCGTGCAGTCTGGTTATTCTTACGAACTGCAATCCATGGTGATTCCATTATGATTCCACGGCGACGATGTCATCATCAGGTGAATCATTTGCTGAGGGAATCACGTCCCTTCATCTCTTCGTGTTGTGGTCATCTATCTATATCTTCTTCTATATCTTCTACTTCTCTACTCGCTCTCCTTCTCGCTCTCACCCAACCTTCTCCTACAACCCTTCCTAACCAGACCAGACAAGGCGTTTGCCAAGTCAAATCGTACTGCCTTCTCTCTCTATTCAAAACTTCAACTACCTCATCCTCCATCGCTCTTAATCAACCGTAAAAATGCCTAAGACTCATCCTAACGATGGTCTCGTGTTCCTCTACATGTGCATCCTGAATTCTGATCTCACCACCGTAAGTATCTCTTCTACCCAATGATCACCCTCTCTTCCGTACTAATATGCCCCGTCAGATTGACTGGAAAGCCCTCGGGGAGGCCACCAACCTCAAGCTTGGGGCCGCCCGCATGCGTTACCACCGTCTGAAGAAGAACATGGACGCCGTTATCAAGGATGGCAAATTTGACCTCAGCACCACTTCTGCTTCCACCCCAGCCAAGAAGCAGAGTTTGGACATGATCACTGCTACCGACAAAGAAAGCAGTGTTGAGCCAAACAGCCCCGTGGTCGGAACCTCTGCTGGAGTCGTCAGCATTGCTGCTCTTCTTAACAAGTCTCCCACCAAGCGCAAGATGGCAGATGATGATGATTCTGAAGCCGAGACCATCATCGATCCCAGTTTCCGGGACTTGCCTGTGTACCCTCCTTACATGCATACCGGTGGTCCTCTTGCTTTCAAGCCGACCGCGAAGAAGGTAAAGAAGGAAGAGTGATGATTCACTGTTCTTTACTTGCTTGCTCACTATATGGGAGCTCAGAGAGACGGTATTGGGATTTAGTTTGTGGGGATGAGGCCGGCTCCTTTCTAAGTATTTTCTTACTTAGGGGAGACAGTTGAAATGAATGTGGACGGAAATCGGGCTTTTATATTTATTATAGTATTTCAGGCCTTTCTCTGTTGTTTAGATGAGATTGGTTTTCATGCGCCCTTAGTCGAATGAAGGGTTTCTCGTCATATGTCGGTTCTCTACATCTAAGCGGGAGGCGTAGACTGAGATTGTAGTAAGCTCAGGCATTTGTACATGACTTTCCTTGTACTTGAAGGCTTAGCGTAGTCTCATGCATGTTGGAAGCCTCACGGTTCGCGGAGTTATGACCGGCCTAATTCACCCTCGAGAATCTCAGAAGCATGGCAATGCGCCATGGTATGATAGTGATCTCTAATTCTAAGTTCCTATAGCTGTCCTGCAGAATGTGTTGATTGGCTATCAGTGAGATAGATATTTAACTCGATAATTCCCGGTTTATACGAAACTGACAGGAAGTAAGCACTGAAGCTGGTTGGGTATGTTACTATTCATAATATAATAGAAGTAGAGGGTGCATCTGCCATTTTGGTGAGTAGTATCCTGAGTTCTCCACTGGACTATGGGTGAATACATAGAGGAGGCCAGATATAATAACCATGATTATAGGCGTAAACAATATGAATTTCATCTACCCGGCCTCAAGGAATCGCTATATAGTGCAGTTAATACGCCACACGCAGATTGAAGCAAGCCCACCAAGCCTCTTACAATGCTAATTGTCTTCCCCCACAACCTTGAAGCACGTACATATGATAGCGCATCGTATGATCATACGATCCTGGGTATACAAACTACACCACTACAGACACCAGGAACAGGGCTCTTGTACTAAATTAGTCGATCGATTGAGGGGGGAAGTGAAGCGTGGATGGTAACCAATCTCAGTGCGCTAGTTAGCGTCCATCAATCACATTTGTGTGATCGGAGCCGACAGCTAGAGTAGGTTAGTCGTCCGTATTAAGCATCTTTTAGGCGCAGTCGTAAGGACCACTTTTTTTATCTTCTCGATATTAGGGACGGTCCAGATAGGTCAGATTTTTTGCGCATCTGCCTGTCTAGTTCTAGTTGGAATCATATCTCCGTCTGATATTAATGCTAGTCTAAGGCTGAGTGGAGCTGTCGGGAGTAAGATAATAAATAATGATATGCAGGGTATGCAGTAGATGAGGTTTGGGAGGTGTGAGTACGTATGTAGGGAGACTGGCAATATGCATTATGGATACCTTGTTTTTGTTGTGCCGGGGTACTCAAATCCGAGCCCAAAGGAGAAGGAGTCATGGATGAGATGCCTCTGGATCAGTTTTCTACTATTGAACGAGGTCTCAGTTCACAATGGCCACAGAATTGGTTACTCTGGTTCTCCTCCATTGGCATAACTAACATAAGAGCTCATCGGGAAGCTGTTGGCAGCTTCAACTTCCGGCCGCCGGGGATAATTCCCAGCGAGGAATGGTCTCATTTGGCGTGTGTCCCCGTGATTGGCTCCAGTCCCCTGACCAGTTTTTGCGCGGCCTTGTTTTGTTGGCCTTGGAATGGCTCTCTTTCTTAACAAGATTCTTATTCTCCATCTCCAAGTCTCCATCCCACCAGTCTCCAGTCTTTTCCGCCATGATCGCATCTTTTGATTTCCCAAGCAAGCATGGAGCTATCGCGCTTCGGCGTTTCAGCCCCTGAGATGCTCGATCTTGCTCCATTCCCCTCAATCTGAGAGGATGGTTCCATCTCCGATGCATGGTTCATAGTCATTTAAACTTCCCAGCTTGCTCGTGGTGAGCCCCTGCGGCTTCCACTTTCCAGCGAGAGACAAAATTCAAAAAGAGGGGCAAGTGTGACGAGGACGCCGAGAGTGGAACAGCTAATTTTAAAAAATGTTCCTGTCACAAAAGCAAAAAGGATCCAACGTCTTCGTGTCAAAACGGCACTGTCACATTCCTCCGTTAGTGCTGGGCTTCCAATAGCGGCCCAGGGTCGGGCATCTAGCATGACCTGCCCCTGTCAATCGATACGGCGAATGGGGCGGTTTTTCCCATAGTACACGCCCGGGATATGCTGGTGCTCGGCTCGAACGAGGTCTTCCCGCTTAGTGACCGGGTCGTGGTTCGCTGTCGGTGGACGATCAACTACCCGATAGGTGCAAGCGCACGTTCATCTTCTCCGCGCTAATTTTATAGGTGTTCGTGTGCTCCATTGCGCGTGAATACTCGGCTTCTGACTGGCGCGCGCATTCGGTTGGTCCATGGCCCTAAGCCGTCAACTCCTCGTCCCATGAACTCTGTACCTCCTCGACCCCGACCCACTCCGCTGTCGTCTGGCCTATGGTTACCGTACGTGCCTGGTAAATAACGTCAGGTCTGGATCTTTTGCTAATATTGGCATGATGGCGGTACTAGCTCAACTGCACGTCGTGCAGATCCAATTTCGACGCCCTCGCTGTCAGGTGGACTCGGGATTCTAGGTTTATGCATAGTGGGTTTTTGAGGACGTTAGGGCTTTGCTCTGCTGCACGTTCGACACAGTCACCAGTCAGCGCAGCAGCTTCAATTGTGTGCTGGGCACTGGCCGCTGCGATTCCACAATGGCCACGAGGAGGGGGTCCCTGTAATCCGTATAAGCACTTCAGACCGCGCCATTCGACTAGGGCAGACAGCTATCTCGGTGCCATGGTCTTCGAGTGTGACCGGCGCAATGTGCATCTAGCTCGCAATTTCTTTTCACTGGTCCCCTCCCGTCCGCCGGCTCAGCCCCATCTTGTGTTGATGGATTACGGAGACCTGGACCACTTCTACCCCTGATACAGGCAGGAACAATTATCGGATCTGCGAACCGGGCAGCTATCCTACGTAGACGATCCATCCTTTGTTCATCGACGCTGCTTTTCTCTCTTCTCAGCTTCTCCTCCCTCCCTCCCTTCCTCCATCTCTCTCTCTCTCTCTCCCCCGTTATTCTTCCCTCCCATCACCCCTTCATCTTCTCGAGTACGGAGGGCTTTTGCGTTCAGCGACTTCGATATGAGTTAGACGTTATCATGACAGCAGCTCCAGATTACATTCCTTTTCTACAGTTCTCTTTTCCGATCTGATCGTCATTGTCATCCCTCGGAAAGCTCGTATTTCTAGCATCCGCCAGTCTCGTCGCACCGATATCATAAGCATATCTTTGCACGCACTTGAGCGTTGTCACGCGCATAATATCTAGATCAGGCTATCCATATGGTTCAGCTGCAGCTGTTGACACCAACATGGTTGCCTTAAAGCGCTTCTTCCATGCGGAGAAATCTTCACCGGCAAACTTCGACGGTCATGACGCTCGAGCAGTCAGCCCAGGAGGCGATGATCACCACGTTTTGCCCAACGTGAAGACATCCCGGCGCATGGCCGCGGAAAATCAGTGTGAAGTAACGCACAACCAGATGCAGTCGAGACCCTTGTCAGCTCGTTCGCATGCGCCTCCGTCTCGGGCATCGACTCGTCCTCCAGTCCCAGCATCTCGGCACGTTGATCTGCTCGATGCTTTGTTTTCTTCACACCGGTATCACATCCAAAGCGCCAGCACTTTGTCGCCGATTACACCATACAATGAAGACATAGCCGAACGGAACATGGTGCCCTTCTTGAGAGGACTGGCGCTCAAGAATACCTACTGCTCGCGTCCGGTTTCAACTCTGTATCAGGAAGAGGTAGCAGACCGGAATATCTCGAGTAGAAGCAGCAGTCGCTCCATTCCCCACAGTTTCAGCGCACGCTCTCGGGCTACACCACCTCGTTCCAGGCAGGGATCACAGAGGTATGTAGACAATGCTAGGGATCGCCCCCATTCACGGGCGAAAGGCACGCTGCTGGAGCGGTCTATTTCTCCTGAGAGCTCAGTCTCTGTACCTCAATTGCGTACTGAGGAGCGCCCTGGCTCTTCCAGGGAAGGGGCCTTTCAGAGAAGCTCCCTGCGATCTCAGAGGTCTGCGCCTGACTTGCTAGCTGAATGGAACAATGCGCCGGAGGAAGAAGCCGTCTCCCGTTCGAATGGATACTTGGGCGTCCCTCCTGCTCACAAGCAAGGCGATAAATGGAGCAATACGCCGCTACCTGATAGCCCAACGCTCCCATTATCCATGAGCAGTGACGGTATGAGCGAGACTGAATCCCCTCCGGATACACAGAGTACCCCTCCAGCGTCCGCTCGTCATGGCAACAAAAAGAATATCCGAGATCTTTCTATAAACACGAAGATAGCAGCTCGAGGAAGCCCGAGCACGAAGATTGCACATCGGGCAATACAGCCGCCTACTCCCAGTGCTGTCGATCCTAAGCAAGCCCCTAGCATTGCGGAGGTTATGAACAGCCCTCTCCCTGTGGGAACACCGACATCCATCTCATCCTTGCCTCAGTCCAACGACAAAGTTATCGAGATCATGGACATGTTCAGGCAGGCTTTTGCTTCGACCCAAGAGGTCACACCACACCCTACCTTTGAGAGTCTCCAGGATGCTATCATCAGGGAGATCAATTCTCACGAAGCCTTTCAGCGCATTTCCTTCCCCACCGAGCCCTCACTCACTCCTTCGCCATCTCAGGAATCCTTTGACAGAGCTCCTCATGTGCCATTGTGCCCAGGACCAGGTCTGGAACGAAGCCTTTCTGCAAAGGAAGGGCAATTCTCGAAGTTGATCCGCAAAAGCTCCTTCAAAAAGCACAAGAGAAGTCCTGAGCAGCGCAGAAGCATATCCACGAGCGTTCCCGTAACGGCTTTCCGGGCCTCACAGACAACCAGTCGACGGAGGCACACCGACGCTCCTCTTCCCTCCCCAGGAGTCCTCAGTAATAGGGAGGCGAAGCAACAAAATAAGGAGAGCCCCGAGGAGCAAGTGACCTACATGGATCTTCTCCAATCGGAAAGATTATCCCACAATCCTCCAAGCAACCCGGGTCGTGCTGTATCCATGAGAACCAACTCGTCCCATGGCAACTTAATGAACATGAGCGGGGCACCATCAGTCCTACGCATGCGCGCACAAGCCTCTCCAGTAAGAATCAGCCAGATCAGCTACTCAGAAGACGACAGCGACGACGAAGAAATCATCCAATTGCCCAGCGTTGGTGGGACACCGCACGTCTGTATCCAGGGTGTCGATCAGAACAACGTCACCTACATGGCTAGAAACACGACTCCGCGAAACGCCTACCGGCTCATGAGCTGGCCTCGGAAATCAGGTCCCAATGCGCACAGCAGAACCACCATTTCCAGCGAACGAGTCCCTTCCCGAACTTCGTCCAGAAACGGACAGCAGTTCTAGGAGACCGCATTGGGTGCAGACTCGTTGCTGTTGCTTTCTTGCTAATGCTTCACTCTCTTGATACCCCTGTCTTTGACAATGATACCCCTCGCCGTGTTCCCGAAAGAAACTATCGTCACGTCCGCTCTCTTACAACCTATAATCCTTAATCCGTTCCTCGCATCCCTTCATTTGATAGGATAGTCCCATCCAACATATTTTCGATCCCTACAACCCCATGAGTGATACCTCTTTGTCTACCCAACACAGACAGCCCAGGCGCTCTTTCATCTCTTCTATACAAACCACAGTCCTTTTACTTTGCATACGGCTTTCAACTTTCAGCTCTTATCCAGTCATTCCATCATTCATTCCTTATTCTCTGCATGGATTTCGCATATTTTTTCTACACTGCATCTCTCTTTTCAAGCGTCCTAGCGCTCACTCTTCTGTATCCTTCTCTGACTATCGAGCTGTCACACTCACTTGCTTTTTCCATCCATCACCAGCGAAATTACTAAGTAGACAACGAATCCTTATCACCACCTAAAAAATAATATAATGCAAAAAGACTACAAAAAAGAGACTTAAGCAATTGCCAAAAACATGTTCTTTCAATTCGACTCGCTAGCTACTGAAACGACCTATATCTGACTCCCCCGATGGTAAACCGATGAAAGGTATCTCAAGGAATATCATATCTGCCCCACCCAACTCGCATCATCCATGCAATTGTATGCATCTAAACTCCTGAATTTCACTTGTTCTTTTTTGTTCTTTTTCTTTTCTGAAGACGCTTGTAGGCTTCTTTTTAGGGTCCCTATGTCGAACTCAACGTGAAACTGTATTGGCAGGAATGGAAAAGTCATAACAGTCATAGGAAGGAAGGAAAGTGGATGATAGAAAGAATTTTAATAAATTGAAACATCCGGATCCAACACGGTAGTAGTAGATTGCGTTTAGTACGAGCCTGTTGAGATGGTTATGTTAGATATATTGTAGGTAAGCAACGCAAGGAATCTGGATATGAACTTACGGCCGAACATGCACCACTTCTCAGCGAAGCGGGTGCAGTGGGGGTTGGTACACTTGGTCTGGCCGGGAACGATACCCTCGGGCTGGTCGAAGGGAATGCAGAGAGACTTGGCACCCATGCTAGGAGCGCGAGCGTCCTGGGGAATGCCGGAGTCCTCCTCGTGCTTGCGGGCACTCAGGTCCTTGATCTGGTCCTCACACTCCTCGGTCAAGCAGTGGGGGATCAGGCAGACGTTCTTGTCGTTCAGGGCCGGGGTGAAGTCGTCCCAGTTGGTGATGATCTTGCGGTGGGAGCGGTACTCGGCGTCGGCGCGGTTGTACAGATCCTTCTGGATGGTTTCCAGGAGAGCGGGCACGGCGGTGGTCAACTCGGAGATCTGAATGGGAGCCTTACCGTCCTTGCCGGGGACGTCACGACGAGCAGCGGTGACGAAGCCGCCGGCAAGCTCGCCAGGACCGAACTCAAGACGCAGAGGAACACCACGGAGTTCCCACTCGTTGAACTTCCAGCCAGGGGAGTAACCCTCTCTCAGATCGCTCTCAGCGCGGACGCCAGCCTCGCGAAGAGTGGAAACGAGGCGGTCGACCTCGTCGTAGAGCTTCTTACGCTCCTCATCGGTGGTCTTGGCGGTGATACCGACGGGGACGATGATGGTCTGGGTGTCAGCGACACGAGGAGGAAGGACGAGACCGCGGTTGTCACTGTGGATCATGACCATGACACCGAGGGTACGGGTCGACAGACCCCAGGAGTTCTGCCACACGTGGAGAGGAGCCGCCTTCTCCTTGTCGTCGCTCTTGGCGGTGGGGTCCTCGACGGTGATACCGAACATCTTACTGAAGTTCTGGCCCAGACCGTGGGAGGTACCACCCTGGATACCACGACCGGTGGCGGGGATGTAGCCCTCAACGGTGGTGGTGTAGAGACCTCCGGCGAACTTCTCCTTCTCGGTCTTCTGACCCTTGACGACGGGGACGGCCAGAAGTTCCTCGTAGATACGAGCATAGAGGTCGAGGATTGTCATAACCTCTTCGTGGGCACCCTCCTTGGTCAGGTGGGCCGTGTGGCCCTCCTGCCACAGGAACTCTCTAGTTCTGAGGAAAGGCTGGGGGTGCTTGAACTCCCAACGGACGACGGAGTTCCACTGGTTGAGCTTGAGGGGCAAGTCACGGTGACTTCTGATCCACTTGGCGTAGTAGGGGTACATGACAGTCTCCGACGTGGGACGGATAGCGATCTTCTTCTCCAGAGGGGTGGAGCCACTGTAGCAGGGATGGGTTTATCAGTGGCCTGTCTATATTGGGGGCGTCCCTAGAGATAAGGGAACATACGCGTGTGTCACCCAAGCGACCTCAGCAGCAAAGCCCTCGATGTGGTCCTTCTCCCTCTGCAGCACATCCTCAGACACGAAAAGGGGGAAAGAGCAGTTCTTGACGCCCATCTTCTTGATGTAACTGTTGAACCACTGCTGGATCTCCTCCCAGATGAAGTACGAAGCGGGCTGTCGCATATCAGTACAAGTGGTTGACGGCGTCTCGGGCGAACAGAACAACCCACCTTGAGAATGAAGCATCCGGAAACATCATAGTAGTCAAGCATATCACCCTTGGTCAGAACCTGCTGGTACCAACCAGGGAAGTCCTCCTCCTTGGCGACATCGATACCGATCAGAGCAGCGCCCTCGATCTTCTTCTTGGGAGCCTTGGCAGCGGGCTTCTTGGCCTCCTGCTTGCCAATCCCCTTGTTCGCGGCCTTCTCAGCCTTGTCGGCGGCCTGCTTGGCCAGCTTAGCAGCCTTCTTTGCGGCGTTCTTGGAGACCTCTCCCTGGGGGGCATCGGCTTCGGCGGGGTTCTGGGAGCGATCAGGAAGGGTCTGGGGGGCAGGGGCCTCGACAGGAGCCGCGGCGTCAGCGGAGGTTTGGCTTGCCATGTTGAGAGGGAGACAACGGTCGCGCAAACAGCAGAGGAGGACCGGATACGAAGGGAAGGCGAAGATAAGAGGAAGATCTGGGGCGGGAAGAGGGGTTGAGTCAAAGTGGGATGCATCTGCAAATCTTCACCGCCCGGGGCCGGCAGAACTTTTAGTGCAAACATTCGAGGCGAACGTCCAGCGGCTTCAGGCATTTGGCTGTCGGAGCTTGTCTTTCCCCCTATTTCCTTCATCTCCGTCTGTTTCACCATCATGGCAGGCATCTTTGAGCAGCCGCGGAATGCGGACACCCTTTGTGAGTCCCCTTACCACCCCCCAATCTCCTTCCCCTGACAGCTATCACTGACCAGTCTCGCACAGTCTTGGGGGGGCAGAAAATCACCGGCGCTGATGTGCGGGAGCAGAACGGTATGAACTGATAGATTCTCCTCATCCATGGGGGTGGGATGCTGATGATGATGTAGTCCTTGCTACGCAGGCCATCGCCAATGTTGTCAAGAGCTCTTTCGGTCCGTCCGGTCTGGACAAGATGATGGTGGATGATATCGGTGTACGCATCATGTTTCGACCCCGCGTTCAATATAGAGCAGCTCCCTGATGGTTTTCTAGGATGTCACGGTTACCAATGACGGTGCAACCATTCTGAGTCTCCTCGACATCGAGCACCCCGCTGGAAAGATTCTCGTGGACTTGGCCCAACAACAGGATAAGGAGGTCCGAACCCCCGCTCCTTGTGCTCCATACTACCTCTTCCTGTTCACACGATGCTGATTTCAGGCTAGGTCGGTGATGGTACTACTTCCGTCGTTCTCATTGCTGCCGAACTCCTCCGCCGCGCCAACGAGCTGATGAAGAACCGCATACACCCTACCACCATCATCAACGGTTACAGGCTAGCCCTGAGGGAAGCTGTCAAGTACATGAACGAGAACATCACCACAAAGGTTGAGACACTTGGAAAGGACAGCTTGGTCAACATCGCCAAGACATCCATGTCCAGCAAGATCATTGGCTCCGATGCCGATTTCTACGCCAACATGGTGGTTGATGCCATGCAACAGGTCAAGACCACCAACCAGAAGAACGAGGTCAAGTACCCCGTGAAGGCTGTCAACCTGCTTAAGGCTCACGGAAAGAGTGGTCGCGAGTCCATTCTCGTCAATGGCTATGCCCTCAACTGCACTGTCGCTTCCCAGGCCATGAAGACCCGGATAACCGACGCGAAGATTGCTTGCTTGGACATGAACTTGCAGAAGGAGAGAATGAAGCTTGGCGTTCAGATCACAGTCGACGACCCCGATCAGCTGGAGAAGATCCGTGAGAGGGAATCCGGCATTGTCCTCGAGCGTGTGGAGATGATCCTCAAGTCCGGTGCCAATGTCGTCTTCACCACCAAGGGTATCGACGACATGGTTCTCAAGCTCTTCGTTGAGAAGGGCGCCATGGCTGTCCGCCGTTGCAAGAAGGAAGACCTGAGACGTATTGCTAAGGCCACTGGCGCTACTCTGGTCAGCACCCTCTCTGATCTCAACGGTGACGAGAAGTTCGAGGCTTCCTACTTGGGACATGCCGAGGAAGTCGTCCAGGAACGGATATCCGATGATGAGTGTATCCTTGTCAAGGGCACCAAGGTCCACACCTCTGCCTCCATCATCCTGCGGGGCCCCAACGACTTCAGCTTGGATGAGATGGAGCGTTCCGTACACGACTCCCTGTGTGCTGTCAAGCGTACCCTCGAGAGCGGTAGCATCGTACCCGGTGGTGGTGCCGTCGAGACGGCTCTTCACATCTACCTCGAAGAGTTTGCAGTCACAGTGGTACGTATCCTCCTCCGAAATATCTGAGCCCTAGCTCAACACTAACTCCACCACCTCCAGGGCTCTCGCGAGCAACTCGCCATCGGTGAATTCGCCCAATCTCTCCTGACCGTCCCCAAGACCTTGGCCGTCAACGCCGCCAAGGACTCCTCCGAGCTCGTCGCCCAGCTCCGTGTCCGCCACGCTCTCTCCCAGCGCGTCCAGGAAGGCGACGCCAACGAGGAAGAGAAGGCTATCGCCAAGAAGAAGACGTACCGTAACTACGGTCTCGACTTGACAAAGGGCCGTGTCCACGACTCCCTCAAGGCCGGTGTTCTGGAGCCCAGCATGGGTAAGATCAAGCAGCTTAAGAGTGCTGTCGAGGCTTGCATCGCCATTATGCGTATTGATACCATGATCAAGTTGGACCCTGAGAGGCAGGAGGATGATGGCCACGGTCACTAATTTATTTAGTCTTGTTTTACGTATGGGGAGTTCTCCTTGCTTTCTTCTAGACCTTTGTGTGGCGAGGGCTGAGAGAAAAAGTATAATAAGATGTTCATGAGTACAAATTTACTACCTTATTAAACTAGTATTGACGTATATGTTTCTCTTGGTTTAGTCTGGTTGTTGTATCCTTAAACTCTTGTGACAATGCCCTAGGGCGGGTGGTAAAACCGGTGTATTAATCAGTTCAAAGCACGTCACATATGTAAAGAAGCAGCAGCAATGTTCAATCACAATAAGAAATAACAGAAGTCCTCGTTGCCATGCAATAAAATCCGACGCTATCAAACACAAGAAAGTAGAACACCTGAAAGGGGGAACAAGAGATCCAAAACACCCTGCTAAATCAAACATCTATGCTTCTTCCGACGCCATACAATGCATGTAAACCCGGTGAACCGTAAAACAAAAAAAGAAAAAGAAAAGACAAGACAAGTACGTAGTCTTTCAAATGAGTCATTCTTCTTCGTCATCATAGGAGTCTGGGGTCTCTGCCCAGCCACTGCGCCATCTCTTTCCTTCTGCCTCTCCACTGGTTCTGAGGTCTCGGGCTTCAGGTCCTTCGCGCCAGCATCGGGCGGTGTAGTCGTCGCTAACGGTAACAAGTTCTCCATCGGCAGTCCATGACACGGCGGAGACTTCTTTCACATGGCCTCCAACAAGGGGTGTTCCGGACTGGTAGATGGGAATGGTGTCTTCTACCCGTCCGGAGTATGTGCGACGGAGGCCGGAGCGGGTAGCTGATGACGGCATCGGGGGTAGAAAATCATCCTCAGTGGTCGTCTTCTGATCATTGGAGAGGAAGCGCTCATCTGTTGGAAAGAGGACGGCACAGTTGTCGGCACTCCCGGCAGCTAGCATCTCCGGTTTGTCGCCTGTGGCTTTGCGAACCCCAACTTTAACATAGAAGGTTGCAACCTGAAGACGTGGATGACGGAAGCCATATAGAGGCCCCAGCCCTTCCTTGTCAGACCCACCGGTGCGACGTGGTCGGTTGTTGTTCAGAGAGAGCTCGGGGGCACTTCCCAGGACCAGATGTGACGTTGAGTAGGTGTACACAGTGCCATCCCGACACAGCGTGTATAGTCTTGCACCATCTCCGCCCAAGGCCATTGACGTGACGGCAAAGCCCCGGTATTTGATGTGGCTATCTGGCTGTCTGGTGGTAGCCAGAGGAAGAACTGGACGGCCACGACGGTTGTTGTGTGCTGTACGCAGATCCCACAACCTCACGCAGGAGTTCGTACTCGAAGCTGTGACAAAAAGGTTCTCGCGACCTTGCGGAAGGAAGGCCAAAGAGGTTACGGTAATGTCTGAACGGCGAACTTGAGGTTCCATTTTCTCTGGTGACACGCCTGTTTGCGACGTCCATGCATGAGCGCCGTGAATAGTACTCAATACCTGAGGAAAGGCGGTCTTGGAGGTGATGGAGCCAGCAGTCGATTCTGCGTCAGATTCAAGCGAGCACCGCGCCTGCAGACTAGGTCTGTCAAATCCTTTGCATCGGAGATCCCATATGTTGACATTGCCATCACGACTGCAGGTCGCAAGGACTTTGTTGTTGGCCGCTGGTTGGAACTGAACCTGCTTGACGGAGGACACATGGTTGGATAGGCAATATACCGGCGTCTGAGTGGCCATGTCGATGACTAGTGCTGTTTGGTCTCCAGAGGCTGTTGCAAGTAGCATATCATCGGACGAAAACTGCAGGTCCATGATCGAATTCGTATGCGGGCGGAACGTAAGGTATGCTCGAGAAAAGCCGCTCTTGTCGTCTTTGGCAGAATCTAACAATCGAATGCCTCCCTCCTCATCTCCTACTGCAATAAGACTATTGGCTGTTGAGCCAGTCAGTAAGTACACGCAGACAGAAAGCAATCCTGTTGTCACCCACTATTGCATGAAGCCGTGCAGAACGGCAAGACGTAGCGGTCACCAGAAATATTGGCGCAGTTGTGGCTATCATTTGGTCGTGAATAGAAGTTTGACGTCAGGTCCTGCCAGCCTTCAAGGACTATGAGTATATCGTTACAAAAATAGAGGCATGTGCAACCTACCAGCTCCTGAATTAGACCGTATAGTCACTCTATTCGCCCGAGACCCCGAAAGGCTTCGCATATACAGCGTTCCCGACGATTGCAAGGCCTGCGACCGACGGACTGGCAGAACCTGTCGAGTAGGTTTTGTGACAGCAGTTGGCTTGACATCATCAACCCTCGATTCAATCTTGAGCTGGATGTCTCGAACTGGTACAGCTACTTCTTCGTCATTCTGGGCTGCATGGCGAACCTGGACCTTTTTAAGCGGCGAAGACTGCAACGGAGAACCAATTGAAGAGAACGAAAGCTTCCGTTTCCGGGTCGGTGTTCGTGTGAAGTCGGGTGCTTCTGGTCTATGTTCAACAGCTTTGGATGTCCTTGTAAAGGCGGGCCCCAGGCGATTGACGGCAGGGGAGCTGAGGGCTTTCAAAGCCTGACGATTGGTTCTCACTGAGCTTGCACTGTTCCCTCCATCCAGCATGGAGCGAGGCGTAAAAAACCGTCGGAATGATCGTGGAGTGACCGGGGGAGGCTTCTTGGGTTTGCGTCGGTAGCCAACATCGGACGCTATCGAGGGCGGCGAGGAGGGAAGCTCCTGTGATGTTGGAGGAAAGACGGGCTCAGACCGAGGTACTTCGGGGAGATCATGCCTGGCATCCATTGTGCTCCACAGACAGATATAGACACACGGACATTCTACAGAAACAAATGCATGGGGAGAGGGGGAAGAGGGGGGGTAAAAAAGGACGAGGTTAGAGAGCAAATGGAGGCATGGCGAGTGGAGCTGGGGGCCGTGGATGATGTCCTCCAGGCGCGGAAAAAAGGGAAAAGTCTCGTGTCGACGTGCCTTTTCGTGTCGCGCCTGACTGGAAACAGTAGGCGGTGAATGTATCCATTAAGGTGGTTCGAGAATGGGCGGTATCTCCCAAACAAGAAGGCGGTCAACATGGTGATCGGCTTTTCCGTCCAGAAATTTTAATTTTTCTTGCATTGAAGAAAGACGATTTGGGAGCTTTGGAGCAGCTCATCGTGTCCGTACCTTTGTTTCGGACACTTCACACTTCTGCCACGATGGCTCCAATCAAGCGCAAAGGCAATGCCGCAGAGGAGGCATCTGCCCGTCAACCCCAGAAGCGTGTCCGTGTCGGAGCAGAGGATCGCAAGAAGGACCAGAAGAAACAGAAAACCGCATCGAATGACAGCAACTCCAAGCCGGACGCAAACTCTGCGCCCAAGGCTTCGGAGCTTTCCGTCCTGCGCGATGACGAGCCTTCCTTCCCTCGTGGTGGTGGAAGCGTTTTGACGCCTCTCGAACGCAAGCAGATCCAGATTCAGGCAACGAAAGATGTCCTCTTCGAGCAGAAGGGTTCCAAGCCGTCTGCTGGCGACTTTGGAGATGATGGAATGGAAGATACAGATATGGAAGACGCTGGCGACGATACGAAATCAGCTGCCGCGAAGAAGTCTCGCAAGAAGAAGACAAAGGGAAAGAAGGATGCAGAGAAAGATGCGACGGAGAAAAAAGATGTTCGCATTGAGGGTCTCAATTTCAAGGTATGTTTTTGGAAGGGCAAGTGAGGCAACATATGCGCTTCTTGAAGCTTACAGAATTAGCGAATTGTACCGGGCACTATGGTACTAGGTCAGGTTTCGAGTATCAACGCTCACGACATCGGACTGTCCCTGCCCAACAATCTCACTGGCTACGTGCCCTTAACATCCGTGTCCAAGGTGCTGGAAGAGAAGATTGAGAAGATTCTCAAGGATGACGGAAGTGACGAGGAGGAAGATGATGATGAGGACGACTCGCTAGACCTTCACAAATACTTCTATCTCGGCCAGTATTTGCGAGCATACGTTGTTTCTGCGGGAAGCAATGCCGCCGATGCCAGTGCCAAGAGCAGGAAGCGCATTGAGCTTTCAGTTGACCCAAGACAGGCCAACTCGGGGCTTTCGAAGTCGGATCTGGTTGTCAACTCCGCTGTTCAAGCCTCGGTTGTCAGTGTGGAAGATCATGGTCTGGTTATGGACCTGGGTCTTGAGGGAGGTGAGGTCAAGGGATTCATGTCTTCCAAGGAGGTTGATCCCAAGACTCAACCTTCCTCTATCAAGGAAGGCTCGGTCTTCCTGTGTATGGTCACTGGCCAGAACGCTAACGGCAGTGTCATCAAGCTGTCCGCCAACCTCCCGTCCGCCGGCTCTATCAAGAAATCACACTACCTCAGCACTGCTCCTACAATTACCTCTTTCCTCCCGGGTACCGCCGCGGAAATCCTTTTGACCGATGTCTCGTCAACCGGCATGGCTGGAAAGATCATGGGCATGTTGGATGCCACGGTCGATCTGGTGCAATCTGGAGGAAGCTCAGGAAAGGACGATTTGACTAAGAAATACAGCACTGGCGCCAAGATCAAGGGCCGTCTCGTCTGCACTTTCCCCTCCGCTGAGCCATACAAGGTTGGGTTTTCGCTGCTCGATCACGTCGCCAAGTTTGCCACTGAGGGCGGTCCCGGTTCCTCGGACGACGCGCCCGCCATCTCTGCCATTGTACCGGAAGCTAAGGTGGTCAAGGTGGAACCCGGTCTCGGTGTGTACGTGCAGATCGGTTCGACTAAGCATCTCGGATTCGTTCACGTGTCGCGACTCTCAGATGGACAGGTGGAAACCATCTCGCCTGAGCTTGGACCCTTCCGAGTTGATTCGGTGCACGAGGGAAGAGTGGTCGGATACAGTGCCATTGATAACCTGTACCTCCTGTCTTTCGAGAAGAAAGTCATTGATCAGCCTTTTCTCCGGGTCGAAGATGTGACCCTGGGTGCAGTTGTGAAAGGAAAGGTGGAGAAGCTTCTCATCGGAGCCAACGGTGTCGATGGTCTAATTGTTGCCCTCGCAGATGGCATCACAGGTCTGGTTCCGTCCATGCATTTCGCCGATACTCCTCTGCAATTCCCCGAGAAGAAGTTCCACGAGGGTATGACTGTGTCGACCCGGATCTTGTCGGTCAACTTGGAGAAGCGCCAGATACGCCTGACGCTGAAGAAGAGCTTGTTGAACAGCGAATCTGCGATCTGGAAGGACTATGAAGAGATCACTCCCGGCACCCAGTCTCCGGGAACCATCATCAAGATTCAGCCCCATGGTGCTGTGGTTCAATTCTACGGTCCAATCCGCGGTTTCCTTCCTGTGTCGGAAATGAGCGAGGCATACATCAAGGACCCTTCACAGCACTTCAGACTTGGTCAAGTGGTCAATGTTCACGCCTTGAGCGTGGATGCCTCTCGTGAGAAGCTTGCCGTCTCTTGCAAGGATCCCGAGACTTTCACCGAGGCTTACAGGAAGGCTTTTGAGAACATCCATCCGGGCATGCTTGTCTCTGGTACGGTTTTCGAGAAGTCGGCCGACGATACGCTTCTTAAGCTGGACGACTACGGCCTTGTGGCTCGACTCAACGTTGAGCATGTGGCTGATGGCTCCCCTTCGAAGCAGGCTTCTACCCTTTCAAAGATCCGCGTTGGGCAGAAGCTCAATGAACTGATGGTGATCGACATTCAGCGCGCACATCGCCTCATCAAGGTAACGGGTAGACAGAGCCTGAAGAAGGCCGCCAAGCACGGCTCAATTCCGTCCGAGATCGAGGACCTCAAGGAAGGTGCCGACGTTACGGGTTTCATCCGCAACATCACCATGAACGGTGTCTTTGTTGAGTTCTTGGGTGGTGTTATTGGTCTCGTACCCAAGCGACTTGTTGGTGATGAAAATGTCAACAAGCCGGATTATGGCATGGCTCGGGGTCAAGTCGTCACCGCCACCGTGCATTCGGTCGACGCAGACTTCCAGCGGTTCATCTTGAGCATGAACCCTGCGGAGGCCACCCACGCCGGTGCGAAGAAGAAGGCTGCGGCTAAACCCGAACCCACTCCCACTGACGATGCCGTCGCTAACGCTATCGACGAGGGCATCAAGTCGATGTCTGATTTCACCTTTGGAAGGGTCACAAAGTGCAAGATTGTGTCTGTCAGAGCGACTCAGGTCAATGTTCAGTTGGCCGATAACATCCAGGGCCGCATCGACGTCTCTGAGGTGTTTGACAAGTGGGAGGACATCAAGGATCGCAAGCAGCCCTTGCGCTTCTTCCGCCCCAAGCAGATCATCTCCGCCAGGATTCTTGGTATCCACGACGCCCGCAACCACAAGTTCCTTCCTATCAGTCACCGGTCCGGAAAGTTCCCCGTGTTCGAGCTTTCCGTGAAGCCAAGCTTCCTGCAGGCCGCCAACCCCAGTCCTCTGAACCTGGAGCAGGTCCAGGTTGGCTCGACATGGGTTGGTTTCGTCAACAACGTGGCCGATGACTGCCTTTGGATCAATCTGTCCCCCAATGTTCGCGGTAGACTGCGCCTTATGGACGCTTCCGATGACCTGTCCCTCCTTGCTGATGTGGAGAAGCACTACCCCGTGGGATCTGCGATGAAGGTTCATGTTTCCGCAGTAGACGCTGACAAGGGCCGTCTGGATCTGTCCGCCAAGCAGCGCTCCGATAAGCTTGTCTTTGAAGATGTTTCGGTCGGAATGATTCTGCCGGGACGAGTCACCAAGGTCACCGAACGACAAGTCATCATGCAGCTTAGCAAATCGATTGTTGGTGCTGTTGATCTGATTGATATGGCTGATGATTACACCAAGGCCAATCCTACTGTGTGCCAGAAGAACGAAGTGCTCCGCGCGTGTGTCATTGCCATCGACAAGGCTAACAAGAAGATCTCCCTCTCTCTGCGCCCGTCCAAGGTTCTCAGTTCCTCCCTGCCCGTCCAGGACAAGGAGATTACCTCCATTAAGCAACTCAAGGTGAACGATATCGTTCGGGGTTTCGTCAGGAGGGTTGCAGACAACGGACTCTTCGTCACGGTCGGCCGCGATGTTACTGCTTATGTCCGCATCTCTGACCTCTCCGATTCCTATCTCAAGGAGTGGAAGGACTCCTTCCAAGTCGACCAACTGGTCAAGGGCCGTGTTACTGTGTCCGACTCGGAGCAAGGCAAGCTGCAGATGAGCCTGAAGGAGTCCGTTCTGGACCCCAACTACAAGGCTCCCCTCACGCTCCACGACCTCAAGCCTGGCCAGGTTGTGACTGGTAAGGTCCGCAAGGTCGAGGAGTTCGGTGCCTTCATCGTCATCGACGGTTCTAAAAACATCAGCGGTCTTTGCCACCGCAGTGAGATGGCTGAGAATCGTGTGGAAGATGCCCGGACCTTGTACGAAGAGGGCGACGCTGTCAAGGCCAAGATTCTCAAGATCGACCGTAAGCAAGAGAAGATTTCTTTCGGACTGAAGGCTTCTTACTTTGATGAGGAGGAGGATGAGGATAGCGAGGAGGATGACGACTCCGAAGGCATCAGCTTGGATGGCCTCGGTGGCGTTGATGTTGAGGGCAGCGACGACGAGGAGAGTGACGTTTCCATGGGCGGAGTCGATCTCGAGGATGATAGTGACGACGAGTCTGAACAAAGCGACGACGAGGAAATGACTGACGCGCCAGCTAAGGCAAGCCGGCAAGACGGCGGTCTCGGTGCTGGCGGTTTTGACTGGAGCGGCAACAACCAGGACGACGATGAGGCTGGTGCTCGCTCAGACTCGGATGACGAGGAAGATTCGCGACCCAAGAAGAAGAAGAACCGCAAGCCCGAGATCCAGGTTGACCGGACCGGTGATCTGGATGCGAACGGACCCCAGTCTGTTGCTGATTACGAACGACTACTGCTTGGTGAGCCCGACTCCTCTCTCCTGTGGCTTCAGTACATGGCCTTCCAGTTGGAGCTGGGCGAGGTCGAGAAGGCGCGTGAGATTGCCGAGCGTGCTCTGCGCACCATCACCATCGGCCAGGACGCCGAGAAGCTGAACATCTGGGTGGCTATGCTCAACTTGGAGAACACCTACGGCAATGACGACACTCTGGAAGACGTCTTCAAGCGCGCATGCCAGTACAACGATACCCAGGAGGTTTACGAGCGTACGATCAGCATCTACATCCAGTCTGGCAAGAACGAGGTAAGTCTTACAACATTTTCCTTTATCTCTCTTCGTGTGCTAACGGAATCACCTACAGAAAGCGGATGACCTCTTCCAAACCGCTCTCAAGAAGAAGGTCTTCGGATCCCCCAAGTTCTTCATCAACTACGCCAGCTTCCTGTTCGACACCATGGCTGCCCCCGAGCGCGCTCGTGCCCTGCTGCCTCGTGCTCTACAGTCCCTGCCTTCGCACACCCACGTCGAGTTGACGTCCAAGTTCGGCCAGCTGGAGTTCCGCTCAGCTAACGGAGACATTGAGCGCGGCCGCACGGTGTTCGAGGGTCTCCTGTCCTCGTTCCCCAAGAAGATCGATCTCTGGAACATCTTGTTGGATCTGGAGATCAAGAACGGCGATGCCGAGCAGGTCCGCCGTCTGTTCGAGCGGGTCCTGGGCATCCGCGATACGAAGAAGGGTGGCGCTGCCGCCGCCGTCGAGGCCAGCAAGAAGGTGCGGCCTAAGCAGGCGAAATTCTTCTTCAAGAAGTGGCTCTCCTTTGAGGAGAAGCTTGCGTCGGCTGAGGGTGGCAATGATAAGATGGTGGAAGAGATCAAGGCCAAGGCGGCCGAGTACGTCAAGTCCTTGCAGCAGGAGTAGAGTGAGCATTGGTGTTTTTGTTTCTTCTTTTTGATATCTGGGACATACTTAGACATGATGTGTATCTTGTATATATAAAAAAGCATTTTTCAGACATGTTTCAAATCTTCCTTCTAAGGGTATTGGTAGTTATTATCTACAACAATGCAACCTCCATCTATACCTAATACTTGCCCAACACAGCCTCCGGATAGACAAACAGAGAGATGAATTACTGCCCCCTCCTCTTCTCAGCCATCAACCTCCGATACTCCTCGACAATATTCCTCCTCTCGCTTGCCAACTCCTCTCTGCGTCTCAAACTCGTCGCTCCACCAGCAGCAGGCACATTCGCAACATCGACCTTCGCCCCTCCGCGCACCTTGAACACCTCCCTCGGCTTCGTCAACTGCGGCGGCGCCTGCACCACATCCAACGGACTAATCTGTTTATTCATCCGTTCCTTCTTCAACTTCGCCCACGGATCCGCCTCCACCTTCGCCTGCTGCTGTGGCTGCAACCCCTTCTTCTTCGCCTTCCGCTTGCCCCCCTCCACCTCCCACTCCTTCCACAGCCGCAACTGTTCATCCATCTCCTCTTCGCGCTCTTCCCGCTCCGCCGCCTCCTTCTCTAATATCTCCGCCTCCTCCTTCCGCCATTGCGATTGCAGTCGTCGTAGGTGCTTCTCGTGCTTCGTCACCCGCGTTTCGCGGATCTTGGGCACATCTGTTGCGGACGGTTTCGCGCTGCGGGACATGTGGGAGAGGGGCATTTCGCGATCGACGCGCGCCGCGAAATCGGAGAGCTTTTCGCCGGGAAGGATTTGGGGTTTTACTGCCTTTCCTTCGGCTTGCGAGGTTTCAGTGGTGGATGTAGTAGTGGTGGTCGCGGCCTTCCTCTTCTTGTTGTTCTTGTTGGTTGTTTGGGGAGTGACATCTTCGTCGGAGTCTGATGAGTCGGAATCTTGGTGTTTACGCTTCTTCTTTTGTGCGCCGTTCTGTTGCTTTTGCTGGAGTTGTAGCAAGTGGCGGAATGCGCGCGGAGTGTCGTCGGCCCATTCTGAGTTGGATTTGGATTTGGCTTTGCGTTCCCCAATGGCTTGTTTTGTGGGCTTGGCTGGTGGTTGTTGTTTGCCTTTGCCGCCTTTGCCTCCTTTGCCTTTGGTGGATTTGGAGGGATCGCGGACGGGAAGGGGTTTGGCGATTACGTTGGGGGGGAGATTGTAGGTGCTGTTGTTGTGGTTGATTAGGAGGTTGTAGTTGTTTATGATGGGTAGGGGACTTACTTGGCATCCTTTTCGCGACGCTTGTGTTTGTGAGGCATTGTGGTGGTTGTATATGTAGATTGTTGTGGTAGATGGTATCGGTGTTGGTGAGATCGAGTTGAAACTTTTTTTGAGTTTCCTTTTCGGGTGGGCGGCGTATCTTATCGCCGCTGATAAGGATGGAATCTTAATACTATCTATATCTATCTACGGAATACATTGGAGACTTGGTGGTTCAGGTCTGAGTCTGGTTGTTTCTACATGGTATCATTGTGTATACTGGCTGTCAGATAAATTGTTTCGCGGTATTTTCATTTATTCCTAGTGAGTGTTTGATTTGGTGAAAAGGATCAAGGATGGTATAGTAGCCCTGTGATATATGTTGGTCCCTTCATAAGGCTAGCCTAGAATATATATTCCGGCCTATTAAACAGTACTAATCGACAGCATAGGGCAGAACTACTGTACTAGTACATGAACCGACCATAAAAGGGACAATAGCAAATAAATAAAATCGTTAATATATTTCTATTAATCACTGACCCAATTAGTATTTCTAAGCATTCAACCACCAGGCTGAGGAGTGTAATCCGTACATCCGAAATGCAAGCTAGCCTGACTTCCTCTCGGATATAGACCACCAGTTAAAATGCGATGTAACGCTGGCCTACACTGTACTAACCTGAAGCCACACAACACACTGTCATTCGACATTCCTTAATGTCTCATACAATACTATAAGTGACCTCCGGTTCTAGTCTATCATCCCAGCAACAACCAGTGTTAACCCTACCGTGTATGGAGTAATAGTAATGTGTTGGATCGACTAGCTTTTCTAGTACCACTCACACTCTTGTTGTTCTGTACCGCTGCAGGCAGCCTGCAGCCTGCAGTTACGGTTAGTGCGAGAAGTCTGGTCCGGCACTAATCAATTCCCCGATCACCTCATGCTTGCTCTCTGGATAAGTCGGCACCATAGAATGTCGTCCAAAGGTTCCATCCACATCCGCTGCTGTTCCGCGGGATTTTATTTTTTTTTTTCGCCCCGCCCCTGTACGTTGTGTCTCACGGTGGTGGCCGTGTCACTTTTTTTGATGATCCTTGAGGGGGACGTGTTAGGCAACCACCTGGTCTTTTTGGTTCTTGCCTTATAGTGATTAATTACTATTAAAATGCTTGTGATGATGAAGAGGTAAGACGGGAAGACCCTTGAAACTAGTAACTAACCCAAAAATGTCTGGCATAAGCACTATTACTCAGTAGGAACAAGACTTCTTAGGCTGGATGAAGGGTAGTTTGAACGGGCCAATAATCAGGGCCAGTGCCGCACATGGGCTTGTTGGCTCGTACCCGACTTGTCCTGGCTTGACAGAAGGATTGTCGTATATTTCTACAGGATGAACATCCATGGATGGGGGAAAACGGTTAGCCAGCTACCGCCTGTGTACGGACAGGTCTGAACGAATCCCGAGTGTGGTCATCAGCACGCAGAGAGAGAGAGAGAGAGAGAGAGGGAAATACGAGGGTGGGTGACATGGTTGATCGGTGAATATCAAAATTAAATATGACTGTGACAACCAATTTACCTTTGAGAGTGGAGATCGCTTCACCCTCACATCCTTCATCCTTTCCCGGGGCCCTGCGGCAACTCGGCTGCAACTGATGGAACCCACTGCACTTCCCTTCCCCCCCTCCCCTCCAGGGCACTTTCCCCCCCATTGAATGAGTGAATCATGGGACGACCGTTGGTGGTCCGGGCAGCTTCTCGCTCGATTTATCGGAATTTGCCTGACCCTCGATGTAATATAAACCATAAACCATCCCCATCTTCCCCTACTACTACTGCCCTCTTTCCTCCCTTTTGGTTCCTGACTAGCAGTGAGTGAGTGAGTGAGTGGACAAGCAGTATGGCCTCTTCGTCTCCCTCGGCCTACCCTCATTCCACCTTCCCCAATCATGACGATAAAAGTCAATTGGACCGGTTTCCACTAGACAAGGATTTGGAGACGAGTACTGCCCTCAATGACCTGGCCTACGATGCTGATGTAGAAGCATCGCAATTGTACGCGCCAAAGCGACCACGATCGGGGGGCATGCGGGGAATCGTCTCTCTTATCGCCGCCTACTTATCGCCGCGGGAGAACAAAAAGAAGCATCACCGCCAGCCCGCCGACGCTCGCCCATTGCTCGCCTCCGCCAACAACGCCACTCCCACTGCCGCCTGGCATTCCTCCTCGCGACAATATCAAAGACTCAAATCACTATCGCAGTGCTTGTGTTACCCTCTTCTGGGACTCCTCGTCATGCTGTGAGTCGAGTTCCCCACCCACCCACCTTGCCTTCACCTCTTCCCCTAATGGGTGAGTGTTGCCGTCAACTCACCTCCAGCGTTTTAGGGGCGTCGTCCAGTTCATCTCCATCGCCTGCAGCATCGCTGTCTCCTTCTTCCCCGACGAATTCGACCGCGCCATCGAGCGGTGGCGTCATAACGATCAGCGATCCCCATCCGCGGACATACTGCATTGGCCAACGGACATCTCCAGAGATATCGTCCCTGTGGCATGCCACTCTCACAATGACTACTGGCGCCCCGTGCCGTTGTTCTCTGCCCTGCAGGCTGGTTGTACCGGCGTGGAGGCCGATGTGTGGCTCGTCGATAATGAGCTCTACGTCGGCCATACCATGTCTGCGCTGACGCCCCAACGAACCCTGCGCAACTTGTACATCAATCCGCTGCTGCGCATTCTCGAACAGCAAAACCCCATCACAGACCTCCACCCTCAGCGCGACAGTCCGCCGCAAGGGGTCTTCGACATGGATCCCTCGCAAACCCTAATCCTACTAATCGACTTTAAAACCGACGGTCAAGAAACCTGGAACTACGTGCATGCACAGCTTGCCCCGCTTCGCGAGCGCGGCTATCTTTCCTTCTTCAACGGCACCGACATCATTCCGGGCCCCATAACCGTTGTCGGCACCGGCAATACCCCCTTCAACCTAGTCACGGCCAACACTACCCACCGCGATATCTTCTTCGACGCACCACTCAACAAACTTGTCGACGACAATATCACCAGCGAGGACTACGACGACGACGACGACGACGACGTCTCCCTCCCCAACGCCCCCGGAGGCGTACAAGACACAGGGATAGTCACCCGCGCCACCAAGAATGTCGGTCAAGGTCTCTCCGGCATTTCCGACGCAGAAATCGGCCCCGACACCTTTGATTGGACCAATAGCTACTACGCCTCCGTCTCCTTCAAGAAATCCATCGGCATGCCCTGGTCCTTCCGGCTCTCCCAGCGCCAAGTCGATCAGATCCGCGCCCAGATCCGCGCCGCTCATCGCCGCGGCCTAAAAGTCCGCTACTGGGGCGTACCCGCCTGGCCACGGAGTCTGCGCAACCATCTCTGGAGCTTACTCGTCCGCGAAGGTGTTGATTATCTGAACGTGGATGATCTGCGCAGCGCTACTCGTCAGGATTGGCGGCCTAGAATCTCGGATTGGTGGAGTTGATTGTAAATAGTTCCTTTCTCTTTCTTTCTTTTTTTTTTTTTTTTTTTTTTTTTTTTTTTTCTTTACTTTTCTCACATACATCGCATGCAATGATCCCCCACGCTATTCACCTGGTGTGATGCATGATCTTCTACTTCTAGACGATGATGGCGACAGATAAAGATGGCGTTTTTTGGTTTTGTTCCTTGTTAGGTAGATACCCACATGATGGTTTTGGGTCATTTTTCTTTTTGAGGAGGTCTGGTTTAGGTTTTTGCTACTAGTTGTTGTTGAGGGGAGATCTGGGGGTTGATTGGTTGGTTTACTAGATAGCTGCGGCAGTACTACTACAGAGTAGATGATGCTGACTGGCATTAGATAAGAGAAGAACAACTTCTGAACATCTTTGGTACGATCTGAGCTGATGATTTCTATTAAGTCTCCGTGGATGGATTACTTTGGACTGCAATCTCTTGGTGGCCAAAAATAACTGTTTGATTGAAACATGTCTGTTTCGGGGGATGCATGATCCGGGTATCATCTATCTATCAAGATAGTAAAAAAACAGGAAAAGATAACTGGCTAGTCCCTCCCGAGGGACGAGCAAAAAAGACGTAGTATGTATGAGAGATAAGGTACCTATGTGGATAGGTAGATCACATACAAAACAACGCCTCCTCGCCGAACTCGCGTAACACCGTGCCCTCCTCGCGCAGAATCCCACCCAGCCAATCCTTGGCCGTTGCAAATTCCTTCGCGCCAAATTTCACCAGCACAAACCCGGCACGCACCCGTGCTGCCGTAAATGTCACCTGAGAATCATAGTTGGGCGTGGACTCCATGGCGGCCGGCGCCGAGGAGGCCCAATTCCGTGCGCCAATCCTCGGCAGCGAGGTAAACCGGTCCATGATGAAAGACGCAAGCTTCTCAAAGACCGGCCCGTAGAGAATCAAAGTCCCCACGACCCCATGCGGTCGGGTACGCTCCCGTAACAAATCACTACGGTCGCATGCGCCCGCTCCGTTGGCAAGAAGGGCCACGTCAACCTCGTCATCGAGAATGAGCGAGTCTCGGAGCAGCAGCTTCTTCTTTGGTAGTGCTCCCTTCCCGTCTGTTGTGGTAGTCCATACCTCGTTCTTGCCTCGCCATAGATGGAAGTCCCAGCTCTCACCACGGGACGTCCGGCCCTCTGTTACCCAGTCGAGAATGCAGAGACTGCTCTTGTTCAGACCGTCGACGGTGAACGTCTGGACTTGTTCGTAGCGGCTGTCTTTGTATGGTACAGCTGGGTCTGGCAGATAGCAGAGGGCAGCACCCTCGCCGACGTGCACATCTAATGTTTGCCGACTTTTGTCGGAGAGGGAGTGTTTGAGAGTGCTGCGGTGGCCCTTCATGCTGGTGGGCTCAGTTTTGAAAATCTTGGTGCTCCCTTGTGGTGTTGTCACGACCATGCGGGTGTGAGCTTCGAGGGTAATGGAGACAGAGATGTGGTCGCCTGGTAGCAGGCCTCCGCCGTATGTGAGAAGGTAGAGGTGAACGGGGTTGGAAGGACATTTTGAGAGGGCGGAGTTCTGCGGAACGAAGCCGGGGACCCGAGTGAGGAGTTTGAGAGGATATTTATAGGTGAGGGTCGTAAGGGAAGGATTTGATGGAGGGAGGAGGGAGAGAACCACCTTGCCATGACCAGGCTTTGCGATGGAGGACTCAAAGGGAGACTTTATCGGCATGGTTGCAGATTTTTTGTGAGGTACATGAACAACTAAGAAGTAGAAGAACAAGAAGAAGGAAGATAGCGAGGGAGGAAGAGAGATGAATTGAAGGTGGATATTTTATGGGTGGAGGAAGAAGGAAAAGAGCGAGACGAAGACGGAATGCTTGGCTTTTAACCGCATGGTCGAGCAGTTGCTCATCGCGGCGTGAGAGGAGAACCAGATGATGAAATGGAGCTGGGGGTGACGATGTTTGCTTTCCCCAGGTCCGGGCCAGACGTTGGGGGGGGGGGAAGGGGAGGGAAGGAGTGGACTATCGTCAGGCAAAAGGAACAGCTGATGGGCTGTGCTACTGCGCGGAGAGAAGATCGAGGATCGCCAGACTTCAATGGCGTCGCAAGAATCAGCAACGAGGCGGGGTCTTGATGGAGATGACTGGAATTTGATGGTCTGGCACTTCTTGGCCCTTCAATCGCGTCTTTTTTAGGAAGTCGCGATGGAGCCCCCCGTGGTTTCCATTACGGCATCGATTACTCCCTCCTCCGCACTTCCCGCTTTGGGGCTTGCGCCAGGGCTAGGGTTGGTCCCGTCACCTGGTCACCTGCCCGCCAGTGCCAAGCGTGCACCTTCCCTCTTTAGGAGTAGCTCGGTAATCATCTTTTTTATTCTTTTCCGCCTGTCAGTTTACACCTTCCGTACAAGTCACGGGTCTGGATTGTGTATTATTGAGAAGCGGAGTTTGTCGCCTGAGGCTGCCACGTCTGCTGGCTCCCCGTCATCGCCAGGCACCAAAGCGCGTCGTCCGTCAACAAGCCAAAGTCAAGATCCCCAAAGTCCCTCCTCCGTCGTCCCATCTCCCCCCCCTCCCTCTCTCCTCCCCGTATCGCTTGGGTCCCGCTCCCGACTTCCGCATGTCCTCAATTGCTTCCTCTTGGAATTGATTCATCCTTTTTTTTACGATTCTTCCCCGCCCGCTGTCCGCGTGTTGCAACGTGCCTTGAACGCGCGCGCAAATCCCGGATAGACATTGGGAAACCCCCCAACATCGCGTTTGACGGCTCCCGTTTCATCTCTACCTTGGCGAATCACCCACCCCCACGTCCAAGTACGCTCTACGCCCTGCAAAATCTCCAGAGGATCTTCTTACAATCGACTCCGTTGGATTCCGACTGACCGTTGTTCCGACTTACAGTGATATAATATCTCTCCCCGACAGACAGACGACATGGAAGCCGAATCGCCCCTCTCAACACCCCAGCCGGATCACACCCAGAGTGATGCCTCCCCGTCAACAGACAGGAGGAAATCGGGTCGCGTGACACGAAAACCAGAACTGTATTCCCAGAGCTATGGCGCCAGCAATGGTGCGACCGCAGGCGGGGCCAAACGCAAGCGCACCACGACTGGCGATGATAACGATGATGACAATGAACTAAGCAACGAGGACGCGTCCGAGTCAGACAGCGATGAGCCCGGCGACGAAGATCCCGACGAAGAGGAACTGCGCGAGAAGAAGCGGGCGGCGCGCAAAGCAGCCGCCAAGAAGCAGTCGTCCGCATCCAAATCAAAGCCCAAGTCCCGTACCGCGAAGAAACCCAAGGTCGCTGGCAACGGTCTGCCTAGTCGCCTGGCCCTACGGCCCGCTGCCAATGGAAAGAAACCGGTTTCGCGTCCCAGACAGATGAAAGCGCGCCTCACCATGGCTGCGCGCGAGGGTGGTCTCTATGGTAGGTGGCTGACCCCAATTTATCCCTTGGCGTAAATGCTCTGGCTGACATAGATTTCTCTACTAGCGGAGGTCTTTGGCAAGGGACGGACCGTCGAAACAGTTGCGGCGGAATGGCTTACGCATTATCAAGAAGAGCAACAGGAGGCAGTGTGCGACATGGTTAACTTCATGCTGAAATGCTCGGGAACTGATCTGGAAGTGACGACGGTTGATATTGAAAATGTCGACCACGCCCCGCACCGTGTGTCTGATTTGGCAACGCAGTACCAAGAACTAGGAATTTCCGAGTACCCTTTGATCTCCAAGTCCAGGAAACTGAGGTCTTTCCACCCCGTTTTGGAGAGTTTTATCATGACCCTGATCCAAACCCTGCACCACTCGTCCGTGCTATACAACGATCCGAATCTTATCGAAAACATCCAAGTTTGGATCTCGTCCCTGTCCTCTTCTGGGTGCCGGCCGTTCAGACATACCGCTACCGTCGTCTCCCTGGCCACGATGAACGCTTTCTGTGATATTGCGCGGGAGGTCAACACCACTGTCTCCACGTCCCGCAAACAGCTGGAAAGTGAGAAGAAAAAGCGGTCAGTGAACAAGGGCCGAGCCGAAGCCATTGAGACAGCGATCGAGGAGGGTGAAAAGAAGCTGGAAATGATCGACGACTACCTGAAAGATGGTGTGAACGTCGTCTTTGTCCATCGCTACCGGGATATTGACCCCGCCATCCGCGCCGAGTGCCTGGCAGCGTTGGGACGCTGGATGCGCACCTACCGCGAGTATTTCTTCGAGGGCCAGTTTCTCCGGTATTTCGGCTGGAACCTGTCTGACGCCGCGGGCCAATCTCGTGCAGTGGTGGTTGAGCAGCTCAAGTCCCTCTATGAAATCAAAGACAACATGGCAGGCCTTCGGTCGTTTACGGAGCGTTTTCGCCAGCGGCTGGTGGAGATGGCGGCCCACGATGCAGAGATCACCGTGCGCACTTCTGCCATCGAGCTGCTTGACCTGATCCGCGATGCTGGATTGATCGAACCGGCTGATGTGGATACAGTCGGCAAACTCATCTTCGACTCCGAACCCCGGATTCGCAAAGCGGCTGGTCGCTTCTTTGTTGCGAATGTCGAGGATGTGTTCGATTCCACGATGGAAGAGATGGCAGAGGAGGCTAGCGAGATCTTCGGTGACGAAGATGAGGACGATTTCGAGTCACCCAAGCGCTCTTGGATCAAGTTCAAGTGCTTAGCGGACATTCTCCAAGCTTACGACGATCTCGAGAATGAAAGCGCCGAGGAACCCGTGGCGCCACGAGATGCGCTTTCGGGTGCTCCGATGGACACACGTTTCGTCCTTGCTACGGAAGCCATTTATCCCCATCTCACCGACCTTGCTCACTGGCAGTCTTTGGCAGGTTACCTTCTCTATGACCATTCCCAGATCCCGGAGGAACCCAGTGAGGATGATACTGCTGCCGTGGTCCGGAAATCGTACAAGATGCAAGAGGGCCAGGAAGTGATCCTTCTGGAAGTACTATGCTGCGCAGTTAAGCTGCGCGTTCTTGAGATTGCCAAGTCAGACATTGATAAGAGGGGCCGAAAAGTGAAGGCATTGACCGACAAGATCCCAGAACTGCAGGAGGAGATCTCGCACAGCCTGGCGCAGATAATTCCGCAGCTGCTAAACAAATACGGCTCCGTACCGGAGGCGGCATTTGCTGTCTTGAGGCTTGAACATCTGGTCGACCTGGAGAAGATCGAGGATATTCAAAAAGACGCGACAGCTTATACCTCCTTGTTGAACGACATAAACAAGCAGTTCCTAACCCATTCAGACCAGGATGTCCTGGCTGAGGCCAGCGTTGCGTTCATCCATGCAAAGAGCTCCGATGATATGCGTGAGGCGCTCGAGGGCAAAATTCAGGAGTTATGGGACAACATGGTAGAGACTCTGAGTACTCTGTCACAAAAGGAGGACGTGTCAAAGGGAGGCTCGATATCTCCCGCTACATTGAACGAACTCGTCAACACAGCGATCCGGATATCTAACCTTGCCAGTGTAACTGACTGTACGCATGTCTTGGAATCCATGCCCTCTGGTCGATCAAAGGGTAAGCGCGCAGGCGTTTCTGAAGCACCTTTCAACGCTCTTGTGCATTTGGTGAAACGGGGGCTGCGCGACCCGGAGGACGACGAGGATCTGGCCAAGGCAGAAAGTGAACTGGTTACCAACAGCATCCGGACGCTTCTGTTCTATTTCATGTGGAAGGTGCAGACATTAACCACGGCCCTGAATGCAGGGAAGGCATCGTTTAATACGGCATACTTCGAGGCTCTGACCAAGGGCCGTGAGATCTTCATCACAACACTTGTTGCTATCATGAAGCAGCGCTTGGGATTGGATGACATCCGGTTCTGCGCGGCCACGACGCTCCTAGACCTTCAGACCCTGTTCGGCACCCTTCGCCATGCTGGACTGAGTGCGGCCAATGACGAGGATGTGATCCTCCAGACTCAAAGTCTTGTTCAAGAAATTGGGCGTGAGCCAAAGACGCTCATCGCCAGGATACATTCCATAGCAGAACGCACGTATGCGAGAAAGATACGAGTTCCCATAAGGGCTGCCGACGACGACGGGCTATCCGACGAAGACATCCGGAAAGCACCCCAGGATGAAGACGACGAAGAGTCTGAACCAGAAGAAATCCTGGATGACGAGCGCCTCCGATCGAGCATTATTGCAGAACAGCGCTTGTGCGAACTGACCGGAAAAATCGTCCTCGCCATCGTCGGTCGCATTATCGACGCTACCGGATCAGACAGTGGAGCATTAACGAAGAAACTGCTCAAGAACAGGTCCCAGCTGGGTCGAAACTACCGTGAAGTCCTCGCCTATCTCGGAGACCGCAAGCCCAGCAGGAGCACAGCAACACGAGCCGCTCCCCCACGAAGTAAACAACAGTCGGCGCAAAGCAAAACCCAGAATGGTGCCGGCGCCAGCAAGCGAGCAGGAGACCTTAAATCCGCCGAACGGATAGACGACGAAGAAGAGGACGAAGATGAGAACGACGCTGAAGAGGAATCCCATCACGAAGATGACGAGGAAGAGGATCTACGAGCCCGTGGCCTTCTCGAAGAGGAGAACATCGACCAAGACAATGACGAGGAGGAAGAGGATGAGGATGACAATCCAGATCCAGATGAAGACGAAGTTATGGGTGATTAGATTTATCCTTATTTTTATCGTATCATTCATGTCTTGTCTATTCCATTTGATATCTTTTTTTCGGACGAAAATTTTACTAGGGAAAGGCACACGCAATGTCAGGGTGTCAATTTGCTATGCTAGGCCCATTTGTATCTTTTCTATTCGATTGTGATTCGGTGTGATGACTTTTTATATCTTCTTCTTTTCGATTCTCCCTCCTGTCCTTTCAATTCCATATGCGGGGTCTTATTTTTTTTCTTTTATTTCTTTTCCTACTACCCCCCGGCTTTCCCACTTGCTGTTACTACTATGTAGCCTGGCCTGATATCACTACTCCTCGTTTCTTGATTTACATCTGTCTCCATTACACCCGCCTTTTTTCCAGACAATGAAGGGATTATTCGCAGACTGTACCTTTCTCTCAAATCTCCGTAGATTGTCGACCTAAGTTTATTTTACGCTCTACGGACTTTTTCCTTGCTCCCTTCTATTATTTTTCCTCGGACAAAAGTATTACTCCAGTCAGTTGTGTCACCTGTATTCCAGTGGTACCATTCCCTTACTGTATTACTGAGTATAGTTTGACTTGTGTGTCTATCTATCTTATAGGGTATCACATTCGGGTGCGGACTGGATTTATTCAACGCAGTGGATGAGTGACAAGGGGTTTGGAATCATTTGACTGGCTGGACTGATAGTATTGAGCGACTAATCAAGTGTATATATAGACTATTTTGTTTCATGGAGTTGACTACTTGGAAGTTCCAAAAAAGTTTTGGATACTCGTAAAAAGACGTAAGTGTGGTGAAAAGAAAACTGTCAATTTTAAGGGCTAGGTCTACTATCCATCATGGCTGAGTCTGTTGGATCTCGTTGAGTTATACTAGGTTTGTTCCTGTATCTCTAAGGAAACCAAACCACATCCAGGGACAGAGCCAGTGGCCTGCATATGCCGACACCAACGCCTAGTAGTATTCCTTTATTTTTGTCTCTCTAGGCGGAAGGGGACGGAGAGCACCTAGGCCCGCAAAACAAATCACAACCGAAGGGAACATCCAGAGGAAATGAACAAGAATGAGACCGAAATAAAACAAATACGCCTGTGTATGAGGGATGCTACGGGGTGGTACCAGAGTGATGGGCACGTATAAAAAGGGATACATGATGGTGAATCTTTATCGTTCGTGATGGTCAAAACAGAGGGGGAGAAATCATGATACGGGAAGGGAAAAGGGAAATGGGTGAGGGGGAGGACAGAAGGGGGTAAGAATGTGGAAACCTGGGAGGGCAAAACAAGAAAGGGTCTGAAGAGACTGCGAAGTTACTCCAACAAGGATGGCGAGAAGCCACATTAGACACCGCTGTTCTTGAGTCACGAGAAGCCTGGAAAAATGAGGTGAATATCCCGTCCCAGGGCCTCCACGAACTCGAGGTTGAGGGTCCACATGGCGGCGTGGTAACCGCCAGGTGTAGATCTAGCGAGGAAGTAGAATCGAAATAGATGGGTGCAGATCTCTCATGTGGGTCATGGTTTCATTGCCAGTAAAA